CTCCAAATATTTGACTGTCTTATTCGATACATTTTTGGAAAAGTCTAATAAACAAACCACCCTTGCTGATATTATGGTCTGAAATTCCTTTATCAACACCATTTTAAATTTTTACGAAACTTAGGTCATATAAACTTACTTCTATGCATCTGTGATTTACATTGATTAGTCATACTGTATGGTTTAACTGCTGTTACACTTTATACATCGGTTTATTTATTTATTCATTGATACCGCAACTATTTTTGTAACATGTCAGTGTACATGGATAAAACTATCAACTTACAAATAAGTTGATTAGTCCTCAAATCATTATAATAAAGGTCATTGAACTTGACTCTTATTTAGATTATTGTTTTATCTAGAGTGTTTGCCTTTAACTATAGATTGAAAGTGTTTAGACATCAGGAGTACATGTTTTCAGTCCTATTTTTGAGGTTGTTTTTGTCAAACGCTTTGTCTCAATTCTCTGTGTCCATGGTAATTTCATGCGTCTTCACAGAAATTTTGCTCTCAACAGGCTACTGACAAGGGCTTAACATTCCTTTCTAATAGTCACTTCAGTGCCTTTTAGTATAATTAATCTAACCATACGGTTTTTATCTAAACTAAATACTTGATTAGTCAAGTCGGACATGTTTGCCTTTATCTATTTGGGATGTATATGTTAGAGACTGCTCAGGCCAAATAGTCAATTATTTTAAATATCGAACGAATATTCACTAAAGCCTTATGAATATTTATTGAGAAAAATGTGTCAAATATTAGTATTTTTATTGTATGCTGATTATCTTCATGAACTAATTTATGAATTTTATCTAGGTTGGATAATATTTCTTTCCCTCTTTTAATTATACCATCTTAAAACCAAATACATAATAAATTCCTCGTGTACAAGTTAATTCATTTATTTAGTTTTTTTAATGGTTAACATTCAATTCAACAGGTTTACTTATTTAGCTTTTTCACGTCACGATACTCATGTAAAGAACAAAATTAAATATTAGGGAAGTCGTATATTCCTATGTGCTTTTGGCACAATTTTATCTCTTGATTCATTTTATAACAGTACTCTTTTTTAACAGATACATTCGAATTTCACACCAGATCTGGTGTCAGTGCCTGCGACATCGATAGTGAAGCGAATTCCACATTTGTTTCTCAGGCTCCTGCTTCATCTCATAACCCTGCTATCCTAGCATCATCAATAGTCGAAAGTATCGCTGATACTTCTAGGATGTCATGCTCCAGCAGCAATGTCGGCATGATTTCTTCCGGTGGATTACGCACCCGAAGTAGTGGGATCACTGGCAACAATGAGGGGTGCGGCTCATCAAGTCGCCTGGCGCCCTCTGCCAGACTCGATGATGGATTAGAGGCAATGGATGCCGATGCCGAAGAGGAAGACGAAGATTCTCATGTAAATATGGGTCAATCTCTCATGGATGATGTTGAGGCAGAACTGAATGGGCTTCATTGTAGTGATAACAATGAGATTGAAGATGATAAAAATCCAGTTAACGATTCTACCTTTGACGAAGTTACAGAGAGCTCTTCGGCTGTAAATTCTGTATGCGGACGGCGTTACCGCTCATCTAGCCGTCCAAATGCTCCGGCTTCTAGTCGATTTTCCGCTACTAGCCGTATTGGAGCCGGTGGCGCTAGCCATTTAGTTCATAGACGGGATTCTTCTTCTTCACGTCGTCGTCCAGCTGACTCAAGCGCTTCACGATTAGGATCTAGTTTCGGGACAAACGACTCACCTGGACAAAGCATTGGTTGTGGCAGTGATAGTCTTTCAAAGTCAACGGCCCTTCGTATTGCTCAGTCAATTCGAAGTGGTGCCATTCCTCCTCCACCCACTGAACCTCCTCCTTCTACTCCTCGATCCAATTCGGTTGTTTCAGAACTAGCATCTGGAGTCTGTGAAGCTGGATTTTTGAGTGGTAATAGTGTTAGTAGTGCATTCTCAGCTGTTCAGCGGGGCCAACACAACTCTTTTTTCAATATTCCTCTGGCGCCTGGTTCTGCGGCTTCTTATTTGCCACAGTCTTCTTCAACGTTGGGGAATGGACGCAATGGTCTTGGACTTAGTTCGCCTCTTTCTCAGGCCTATCTTGCTGGCAGTAAGTATATGATAAACCAAGGCATAGTAATACAGCAATTTGTGGGATACCTTGATTTACTTTTTCAATGAAATTAAAATAAAATTTTAGTTCTTATAAGTACGTTAAACTATTTTTGCCTACTTAAGGATAGCAAAATGTTGTGGTTTAGTCATCTATTTCTGTGAATCTGGCTTTAAACTCAATTCAGCTACTTAAGGATCGTCACTTGCATGTCCTTTTCCACCA